ATAACTAGAGATATAAACCACGACTAATGTAGAAGGTAATTTATCATAGCAATGTTTATAAGAGAAAATTTTTTTAAATTGTGAAAGATCCCAGAGGAAAGACTCCTCTAACTCCTCTAACTTATCCCAGAGAATAAGATGAGGTTACAGTTAGGTCTTTTTTTTTTTTTTTAAAAGATTTATTTATTTATTCATTCAGAGAGAACGAGAGAGGGGCAGAGACACAGGCAGAGGGAGAAGCAGGCTCCATGCAGGGAGCCCGATGTGGGACTCGATCCCGGGTCTCCAGGATCACACCCCGGGCTGCAGGCGGCGCTAAACCGCTGTGCCACCAGGGCTACCCTACAGTTAGGTCTTAAAGGATTAAGGAGAGTTTGTCTGGACAAAGAGGGAGATGGCATGGAGAGGACAAGCATTCCCTGGGGTTAGGACAGAGAGAAGCTTATTTATGTTTTAACCCAGACATTGGGGAGTCACCTTGGCTAGAGAGCACAAGCCACAGACCAGAACTAGAAGAGTCAATCAGCATAGTTCATCCCCCAAAATAGTAGATGGGAATGGGGAAAGCCGGATACGGGGCCTCTCAGACTTCACACTGCACACAAATGCCAAGGAATCTTGTTAAATTGCAGGTATTGATTGGGTTTTCCAGGGTAGGTCTGCATTTCTAACTAGCTCCCAAGTGCTGCTGCTGCTGCTGGGCCTCAACCACAGTTTGGGTGGCAAGGGGCTAGAATTAATACCAAGGAGCCATTCCCCCTGACGTCCTACCCCCCGAAAGGATCTTCAGGCTCATGGTGAACCAGAGCAGGATGTTTTCTAGGGGAAAAACAAAACAGCTGTAACACCAATGACAAGATCCTATGTAAAGCGACTCTGGAATATAAACTGTGTCAACCTGAAGTTCAGGGGTCAATGGTTGGGGCTATAGGACATCCCAAGTATCTTAGAGATTCTGTGACCTGATAAGAGTTTAGCCAACCCTTTTCCTAAGGAATAAGGTTACAGACCTGTCCTCAGAGGCAGAGGCAATCAGCACATACCTCATTTGATTCCTCAAAAGATCTGACAAGGACCTCTCAGGCCAGGCCCCGGGAATAAAAAGAACTCCCAGGGCAAAATTAAAGTGCTGACTCAGAATAGAAATGTCCTCCAAACAAGGCACCTGAGAAATGATTTGGGACTTTGGGCCTGGGACAAACTAAGGCCAGAGCCACACCTAAACCCAAGAGCTTGGTTCAGCAAGGGGATGTTATCAGGAAAACAGTCAATAAAATAGTTCAGCCAAAGATCTGAATTTTGGAAACTGCAACACGTGTGTTATAAGTTTGTAATGACACCTCACAGTGGGGAGAAAATTAATTTAAAGGGGTTGAAAATAATACAGTTTCACATTATTTTCAAGTGCTTTTAGCTAACGATGAGGGACTTTTTAAAAAAGATTTTATTTATTCGTGAGGGACACATAGAGAGAGGCAGAGATAGAGGCAGAGGGAGAAGCAGGCTCCCTGTGGGGAGCCTGATGTGGGACTCGATCCTGGGACCCCAGGATCACAACCTGAGCCAAAGGCAGACGCTCAATCACAGAGCCATCCAGGTGCCCCAACAATGAGGGACTTTTTCAGAGCTACATGCCTTCCTTCTTTAGGTAACCACAAAATAATCCAGAAGGCCAAGTCCAGGCCTGATTCCATTTTCTCTAAAAGCTAACCTTTGAGGGGTGCCTGGCCAGCTCAGTCAAGTACAGCACAGGGCTCTTGATCTCAGGGTCATGAGTGCAAGCCCCCCATTGGGGGTAGAGTTTACATAATAATAATAATAATAATAATAATAATAAAAAGCTAAACTTTAAGTCAGATACCAAGGTCTAGATACCAAGTTCTCTGCATCTTTTCTATAATTCATGTAACATGTGGCAAAATGGAACCTAAAGTATATTTATTTAAGAATACGTGCATAACCCCCAGCAGTCATCGCGCCAGGCCCTGCGTGGGGGAGTGGCCTTCTAGGAAACTGCTCACTAAAACCATGCCTACAGAGAGCCAAGAAGCTGCACGGCCTGGGCTAGTTTCTAGCCACTCCTTTATATTCTATGTTATACCCCATATTCCCTATTGGGCACCACTGTGAGGGAAACTAGCCCAGGCCCAACAGCTAGGGAATATGACGGCGGAACAGGATGGTGGGAACCTGTCCGTGTTTCTCCAGTGGCCCCTGAGAGAAAGGGTGTCCAGGCTAGAACTGGCACAATAAGCCCCAGGCCTAGATAGTCAGTCCCTATAAAGGAGTGGCTATTTCAGGTTCTCTGAGTTGCCAGTGCTCTCCTAAAGGATTATAGGTATGGGAGGAAGGAAGAAAGTGCCTTAAACTGAGAGCACTGATCCCTGGGGGGGGGGGGGGGGGGGGGTTGTGGAATAGGGTGAGCAGCTCTGTCAGGGGCACTTTTTACTTTATCACTATCAGTTGTATTTTTTTTATAACAAAAATATATCCAACCATTGTTTGCATAAGTAAAAATAAATGTTTAAAAAGCATGAACAGGGATCCCTGGGTGGCGCAGCGGTTTGGCGCCTGCCTTTGGCCCAGGGCGTGATCCTGGAATCCCGGGATCGAATCCCACGTCGGCCTCCCGGTGCATGGAGCCTGCTTCTCCCTCTGCCTGTGTCTCTGCCTCTCTCTCTCTCTCTGTATGACTATCGTAAATAAATAAATAAAAATAAAATAAAATAAAAAAATAAAATAAAATAAAAAGCATAAACAAATCAAAAACAATTCCAAAGCTCCCTTTGCTTTTATCCCGTATTTGTCAAACAAACTTGATTCTGTCTGCCAAGACCTTCTAGCAGGAAAAGCGCACAATGAGCATTCTCGTCCATGTGGATGTTTCTTGGGAAATATTAATATGCTGCATTGCGGGGCACCGTCTCTGGTGAGTTTTATTCCTCTGACCCTAATCTCTCCCCTCTGTCCACCTCTCCTGAACAGATCCCTCTCTCACCCTGCCACCCCAGGGGTCTTTCAGGAATGCATCCTTGGGCACCTGGGGGGCTCAGTCGGTTAAGTGTCTGGCTTTGGCTCAGGTCATGATCTCAGGGTCCGTGGATGGAGCCCCACTGAGCAGGGAACCTGCTTCTCCCTCTCCCTCTGACCACGCTCCACTTGCACATGCGCGTGTTCTCTCTCAAATAAGTAAATAAAATCTTTAAAAAAAAAATGCACCCTGGATCTCACCAATGGCCTCCTCTGTCCAAGGGTAAAATTAACACATCTTGGCAAGACATGCCCAGCTCTGTGTGCTCTGGTCAACCTCATCTCTTCCTGCTCCCCATGACATTGACACTAAAGTACAGACTTGTCCTTCTCCATAAGTTTCTGGCTTTCTGCCCATCCTGTTACTTCTCCTGGAATACCCCTTTCTTCCTCTCTGCTCCTCAAAACTCCTCCATGTCTCTAGGGCCTCAGCATTGCATCAGCCATGCCCCTTACTTAGTGCTCCTTGATCCCAGTCTACTGCCAAGGAATGGGATACCAGCTCCGGGCTTCCATGTTGTATATATAGGCTTACCCCATATAGTACAGCTGAGCACACTGTTGATCTCTTCTTGGGTTTCTAATTCTATATCCTTAGCACCTGGCCCACAGCAGATGCTCCGTATCTCCTGACAAAACTGAAGGAAGTTTCATCCCCAAGGCTCTGATATCATAAACTCACAAAACTATTTATTTGAATTTTCAGAACAAACCATAGGGGATGTCAGTTTGCTTATCTTTCTCCAACCTCCTGCTCCCTGTACCCTGAAATGCCTGTGTACTGTGGGCAAGGTGCCCTCAACACATCCCTGGCCTGGGCAGCAATGGATGGGGTAAGGGCCACGAGGCTGGGCTTTGTCCCTAGACCTCCTCTGCTAGTGGTAGCAAAGAGAGAATCCAACCCTGACCACTTCATCAGAGAAAATTCTAAACATCTGTTGATTTTAAACATCTCCCTTAACCTGTTAACACGGTTCATAACATTGATTTTTTTTTAATGTTTAACTAATTTTGATTCCTGGAATAAATCCACCCTCTTAATAAGGAATTATTCCTTTTATACATTGCTAGATTCAAGATCCTAATATTTTATGGAGAATTTCTACATTTATACTCATGAGTGACACTGACCTATAATTTTGCGTTATCCTTATCAGATTTAGATGAAGGTTATATTAGCTTCTTTTTCAATATTCTGGAACAATTTTACACAAAATAAAACAGGAAACACTCATTCCCTCATTGTTTGGTAGAATCTGCCAAGGAAACCAGGTAGGCCTGGTGTTTTGAAGGGAAAAATCTTTGACTACTAATTCAACACCTTTAATGATTATGGTCTATTTTGATTTTCTATTTCTTACAGAATCAGCTTTGGTAAATTATATTTTTTTCTAGGCAATTCCAAATATTTGAATTGCAAAGACAACTGATTATCTGGAATGCTGACCCTGACCCACAAATGAACTCTGTAAGAAATTAAGTTTGCCTTGTGAATCTGGAGAGCATAACAGCTGACATGAGTACTGTTATGTTACAATTTATAAAAGTGCTGCCCATATATTACCTCTTTGAAGATCAAGGTCTGGGAGGCTTTGGGGATTTTTGGTGTCTGATTACTTGCAAAGGGATGGGTGGCTAGCTTCCCAACTACCCATGCTTCCCAGAAGCATCGGATTCAGATCAGCCCCCTACTGCTGGCCATGCTAGGACATTCTGTGGAGGCCTATGCAGCTACTGAATTCACTCTTGGTAGTCACTTGTCATTAACACGAGGAAGCAGCCACCAAGAGCCTTGGGGGTGTCGATGTTAGGGTATGGGTGAGTGTTCCGAGTTCGCAGAAACCCTCCCCAAGGCCAGGCTGGGAATGCTAGGTCTGGGGGGCTGGCGTGTTTACTAACCCGGGTCCCCAGGCCACGGGGCCCGGCCGCCGAGGGCAGCCCGGGGTCGGGTGGGAGGGAAGCGCACTCACCAGGGCCTCAAAGTCCTTGCAGTCGTGGCGGGCGTAGGCCGCCGGGAAGGGCCGCAGCGCCGAGTCGCGCTTGTAGCTCTGCAGCGCGGAGGCGAAAAGGCTGCACCGGAGGTCGGCGGCCAGCACGTCGCCGGCCGCCGCCTCCCGGACGGCCGCCCAGCCTGCGGGCTGCATCCCGGGGGGCGGCGCGTCGCCGGGGGAGACGGCCGGGAGCTAGGGCCGGCCGAGCCCAGGGACGAGGGCCCGAGGGCGCCGGGGTTCCCAGGCCCGAGGTGGAGCGAGGCGGAGGGATGACAGGGGTTGGGGCGTGCTGGCGGCTGGCTTCGGCGGGGGAGACCCGCCGGCGGAGGAGGGGGGCCCGGCCGGGACCTGGGGTCAGCGCGAGGGGGGGCTGGGGATAATGGGCCCCGTGGGGGGGGGTGTCCCAGGCCTGGGGGAGGGGCTATGACATGGGATGAGACGACAGCGGCGGGTACGCGCTGACACGCGTCCTCCGCAGGGGCGGGGGTCCGGGGGGCAGCCCCAGGGAAGCCGGGGAGGAGCCCCTCTCCGCGCCGGGCGAGGCTGCCGCGCGGCCGGTGCCTTCCTGCTCCGCCTCCCGCCCCGCCCCGCCCCGCCCCGCCGAAGCCCCCGCGCCCCCGGCGCCCCGCCAGCCCCGCCGCCGAGCTCGCCGCGCCCTGCCCCCGGGCCGACTCCCGCCCGGGCCGCGCGCCCCGCCCCCCGCCTACCTCCCCTCGCGCCGCTCCGCCCCGCCGCCGCCCGCCCCGCCCCGCCCCGCCCCGCCCGCCGGGGGCCCCGCGAGCCCGCCCCGCCCGCCCAGCCCGCCGGGGGCCCCGCGAGCCCGCCCCGCCCCGCCCGCGCCGGGGGTGGGGGGGGCCGGCCGCCAGGTGCGCCCCGGGGAGTCGCCCACGCGGCCGCGCGCCCTCCAGCCAGAGGCGCGGGGTGGGAGCTGACCCCGGCGGCCTTTGACTTTGTGCCGCGCCGCCGGCTGAGCTGCTTGGCTCTTCCCGGGGAATTGCTACGACCCATGGCCTCCCTCCTGAACCGGTTCCCTCCGAAACGGACTGAGCACAAGGAGCCAGTGAACACCCAGGGAACTGCGCCCCAGAGGGCTGCACTGCAGGCCCAAGGTCCCACAGCCAGAGGGCATGGACCCCGGCATTCACACCTGGATCTGAAAACCGAGAGACCTCTCCTCTGCTTTTTACAGAATTCACTGCATTGCTCAGGTCCCTGGCCTCTCAGGCGAGGTGTTGTTAGCAAGACCCTTCTTTGGGGTCCTCTCCGAAAAAGAGCCTGGAGAGACAATTAATGGGGGAGGCGGGAGGAGAAGTTGACCCAGCCTTGCAGAAGGGAAGGGACTAGACTCCCATTCCCTCTCCCAATTCACAACCCCACTAGAGAAAACCCCAGTTTGGCCTCATAGTTACGTGGAAGTGAAGCACAGGGAGTTGCCTAATTCCTAGACCAAGATGTCCCTCAATACCCTGGCCCCCACTGCAACAACACTCCAGCATCCTCTGAGAGAGGAGCTTCCCCTCCCTCCCCATCCAGGCTACGCTGGGCTCCGGGCTCTGGGTTCAGAGAAGAGGTGGTCCATGACTTTGGATCCTATACGACTTTGGGAGGAAGAGCAATACTGGGCCTCCAGACACCACAGGGCATCCCAGGCCAGGTAATGAGTGCGAGCTGCGCCCAGGAATCCACATCAAACCTCTGGTTGCTATGAGGCCCAGACTGGTGCAGACGCAGGAACAAGTGTCGTGGAAACTTATGCCCTCAGACAAGATCACTAAGTGCCTCCAAGACCTCAGGGGACACAGGAACTAGCATGGCTGCTGAAGTTCAGGCCCAGAAAGATCTGGAAACAGTGGGACAGGAGACCTGGGAACCCTCTGTCATTCCACCTCTTCTTCGCTGTGGCCCCTTAGGCCAGGCCAACTCCTTGGCCTCAAGGCTTGTTTGTTGGATGAAAACATGAAATTTGCTTTTCTGAATATGTTTTCTCACACATGAAATGAGAATCATAGCAAAACACCCACATCCCTTGGGATGTGGGAAATGCTCTGAAGATGCAGTGCTCAGACTCTGGGCGCTCTGCAGAGCAAGCTGAGTTATCATTGTGTTTATTCCCTTTTTTAAAAAAGTTTATTTATTTTTTAGCAATCTCTATTCCAACCTGGGGCTTGAGCTCATGACCCTGAGATCAGGAGTCGCATGCTCTTTGGACAGAGCCAACCAGGAGCTCCTGTTTATTTCCTTTTTTATTTTTTTAAAGACAACTTTATTGAAATATAATCCACAGCCCATACAATTCACCTATTTATAGTGTAAAACTGGGGATCCCTGAGTGGCTCAGTGGTTTAGCGTCTGCTTTCGGCCCAGGGCGTGATCCTGGGGGTCCCAGGATGGAGTCCCACGTCGGGTTCCTGGGTGGAGCCTGCCTCTCCCTCTGCCTGCTTCTCCCTCTGCCTGTGTCTCTGCCTCTCTCTGTGTCTCTCATAGATAAATAAATAAAATATTAAAAAAAATAAAGTGTAAAACTTTAGTTTTAGTATTTTCACAGATATGTGTAACTGTCACTGCAGTCAATTTAGAACATTTTCATCACATTCAAAAGAAACTCTGTAGTAGGTGCTTGCAGTACATGAACATAGGATGTTTTCCCATTTATTCAGATCTTTAAAATTTTTTTCAGCAATGCTTTGTAGTTTTCTGAGTATATGTCTGGTGCTTCTTTGGTTTCATGGTTTGCTATCTTACTTAGTAGTCTTTTCATCAAGTTCTGCTCCGATCTTCTTTATTTTCTTCTCTCTACTTTTTCAGATTGAGTTTATTCTTTTGAGTGTGTTAAGGTGAAAATTTATTGTTTTGAGACCTATTAGTTTATTGTTTTGAGACCTTTCTTTTTTCCTAATCTAGGTACTTTATACATATAAATTTTCCTCTAAGTACTGCAGTACAGCTACATCCCATGAGCTTTGATATGTTGTATCTTCATTTTCATTCATCTCAAAGTATTTTCTAATCTCTCTTTTTATCTCTTTCTTAACACATTGGTTGTATAGGAGTATGCCACTTAATTTCTGCCTATTTGTGAGTATCTCAAATTTCTTCCTGTTACTGATTTCTGATTGCATTTCATTGTGGTCAGAGAACATATATTGTATTACCTCTATTCTTCTAGTTTATTGACCTTTGTCTTATGGCTCTCACCATACCTCTATCCTAGAGAATGTTCCATGAGCACCTGAGAAAAATATATATTCTGCTATTGTTGGATCAACAAATGTTAAGTTGTTTTCCAGAGTGGCTGCACCAGCTTGTACCAACAGTGTAAGAGGGCTCCCCTTTCTCTGCATCCTCACCAATATCTGTCAGTTCCTGACTTGTTAAGTTTAGCCTTTCTGACCGGTGTGAGGTGGTATCTCATTATGGTTTTGATTTGTATTTCCCTGATATCAAGTGATATTGAGCATTTTTTTATGTCTCTGTTGGCCATTTGTATTTCTTCTTTGGAAAAATATCTATTCATGTCTTCTGCCCATTTCTTGACTGGATTATTCTTTGGGTATTGAGTTTGATAAGTTCTTTTTTTTTTTGAGTTTGATAAGTTCTTTATAGATTTTAGATACTAGTCCTTTATCTGATAAGACATTTGCAAATATCATCTCCCATTCTGTGGGTTGTCTCTTGGTTCTGTTGACTTTTTCCTTTGCTGTGCAAAAGCTTTTATCTTAATGAAGTCTCAATAGTTCATTTATGCCTTTGTTTCCCTTGCCTTTGGAGACATGTCCAGCAAGAAGTTGCTGTGGCCAAGGTCATAGAGGTTGCTACCTGTGTTCTCCTAGAGGATATTTTTGGTTTAAAGATTTTATTTATTTATTCATGAGAGACACAGAGAAAGAGGCAGAGACATAGGCAGAGAGGAGAAGTAGGCTCCCTGTATCGAGCCCAATGCGGGACTCAATCCCAGCACCCTGGGATCATGCTCTGAGCCAAAGGCAGACACTCAATCACTGAGCCACCCAGGCATCCCTCCCTCGAGGATTTTGACGGGTTCCTGTCTTAACATTTAGATCCTTAATCAATTTGGAACCTATTTTTGTGTATAGCATAAGAAAATGGTCCAGTTTCATTCTTCTGCCTGTGGCTGTCCAATTTTCCCAACATCATTTGTTGAAGAGACTATCTTTTTTCCATTGGATATTCTTTCCTGCTTTGTCAAAGATCAGTTGACCATAGAGTTGAGGGTCCATTTCTGGGCTCTCTATTCTGTTCCATTGATCTATGTGTCTGCTTTTGTGCCAGTATCATAGTGTCTTGATGATCACAGCTTTGTAATGGAGCTTGAAGTCTGGGATTGTGATGCCACCAGTTTTGGTTTTCTTTTTCAACATTCCTTTGGCTATTCGGGTTTTTTTCTGGTTCTGTACAAATCATAGGATTATTTGTTCCAGCTCTGTGAAAAAAGTTGATGGTATTTTAATAGAGATTTCATTGAATGTATAGATTGTTCTAGATAGCATAGACATCGTAACAATATTTGTCCATCCAGTCCATGAGCATGGAATATTTTTCCATTTCTTTGTGTCTTTCTTGATTTTCTTCATGAGTCTTCTTTACTTTTCTGAGTACAGATCCTTTGCCTCTTTGGTTAGGTTTATTCCTAGGGATCTTATGGTATAGGGTACAATTGTAAATGGGATCAACTCCTTAAATTCTCTTTCTTCCGTCTCACTGTTAGTGTATAGGTATGCAACTGATTTCTGTGCATTGATTTTATTTCCTGCCACTTTGCTGAATTCCTGTATGAGTTCTAGCAATTTTAGGGTGGAGTCTTTTAGGTTTTCCTTGTAGAGTATCATGTCATCTGTGAAGAGTGAGAGTTTAACTTCTTTGCCAATTCAGATGGTTTTATTTCTTTTTGTTGACTGCTGAAGCTAGGATTTCTAGTACTATGTTGAACATCAATGGTGATACTGGACACCCCTGCTGTGTTCCTGACCTTAGGGGGAAAGCTCTCAGTTTTCCCCTGTTGAAGATGATATTTGCTGTGGGCTTTTCATAGATGACTTTTATGATATTGAGGTATGTTCCCTCTATCCCTACACTGTGAAGAGTTTCAATCAAAAAAGGATGTTCACTTTGTCAAATGCTTTTTTTGCATCTATCGAGAGGATCATATGGTTCTTATCCTTTCTTTTATTAATGTAGTGTGATTGGTGGATGTTGAACCACCCTTGCAGCCCAGGAATAAATCCCACTTGGTCATAGTGAATAATCTTGTAATATACTGTTAGATCCTATTGGCTAGTACTTGGTGAGAATTTTTGCATCCATGTTTATCAGGAATATTGACCTGTGATTCTATTTTTTGGTGAGGGTCTTTGTCTGGTTTTGGGATCAAGGTAATGCTGCTTCATTGAAAGAGTTTGGAAGTTTTCCTTCCATTTCTGTTTCTTGAAACAATTTCAGAAGAATAGGTATTAATTCTTCTTTAAATGCTTGGTAGAGGAGCACCTGGGTGGCTCAGCAGTTAAGCACCTGCCTTTGGCCCAGGGCATGATCCTGGGGTCCCAG